GTTGAATTACAAAGACTACTCTGATCACAGAGCAGTGATCACTAAAACCCTAGCTAGATAAGAAAAACATTTTTGTTTTCTTTTTATGTGTACGAGTTTATAACCTCCCTGCCTTTATGTTGGCAGGGATATGGGAGTTGCTTGCCTGTAGTGAGTGGCTGTGCATTTTAACCATGGTGTGTTTTCCAAAGGAACTGGAATTCTTGTATGTTTAAATGCAACTCTGCACCCTCATTCTTTTCACAGTGAAAGCTAACTCTGAATTTGATAATATTCGATTACTGAAGTTTAAACAGCAGTTTTGGACAGTCACTTGTGCTTGACTATGAAATCTGTTCCCATGGTGAGTGAGGGGCACTTAAACAGTTCTGTCCAATTCACTGGAAGTTTAATGACTGTAACCTAAACAAAAATCTTTGTTCCATTTGACTAAAATCTCCGTACATCTCATTCTGCCTTTTTCATGCATCTCACCTGCAGATAACCTGTTATTCTTACATCAGTATTTTCTAACCAAGAAGAAGGTGGGTTTAGCTGACCGCTTAGCTTTGCTAGTTACTGCTGTGCACATCACAGAATTAAGAAACAGAAAAGCTGCAAAGGCACTTTTAATACCTTAAGAAAAGATACACAGCACATTCTCATGTTTCTTTCTACATTCATGTTTATTTGTGCTCTTAATCTAAGTCAGCACTACACAAGTATTACTGCCTTCTGTGACTTATGTAGTATTAATATGGCAAACTGGCAGAAGCTTGCCTAAGGTCAAACAACAAATCTGTATAAGAATTTAGAGTAAAGCCTCTGTTCTTCACTCATAGGCCTGTGTATTCTCCAATTCCATTCATCTACCCTTAAACATACATGCTCTGTTTTCTGTCAACAGCAGCCTGCATTTGTAGGAAACGGAACAATAGTGTAAGTGGGATCTGAAGCCTCTTCAGCTGCTCTATACCCCTAGCAGTATCTGTCCAGTTTTAAGGTATTTTGCTGAGATACATTCATTGGGAAAATGCTATCTGTGATCCATACAGTGATTTCAGAATGCGCTAGGGGAGAGACCTAAGAGCCATGAATCCAAGCTAAGACCTTTACAACATTCCCAATGGACCACTGTGAACACACATCTGTGTGCAGCTGGGTCTGACAGAACCCCTGAGGGAATTGTGACAGGGCCCTGTGCAGTTTGTCACAAGAAAGACAAAGGGGTGTTGCTACTAGAGAGGACTCAGTGTGTGAAATTTCTTAAGTCAGTGATTACTGGGAGTATTTACTGCTAATCTCAGCGCAAGAGAAGCGTAGCTGCTCTGCTCCCCCAGTAAACAATAGCTCCCAGATTGCCCTCCTGAGGCCTCTTTCCTTTTATTACAGCCCACACAGAAGGCTCATCTGAGAAGGCACTTTGAGTAAGTGGAGCAAACCCTGAACCAGTCTGAACCAGTTCAAATATCACATATGGTTGTTTTGCTTCTGCAGACTTCCTTGTTAGTCCTGGGAGGCTGTGGCTGGCATTTACTTAGCAATAGCTCATGCTGTCAAATGGAAGGGGGAGGGGAAGCCTCTCCTTGAACGTGTCAGCAGGGGGATGCAACAGTGCAATCAGATATTTCTATTGCTCCACACTGACTCCTTTGTAGCGTCTGTTTCTGTCTTGATTTTTAGTTATACTCAGCTGATGATTTCATAAACTCAGCATCCAATCCATATGTTCCAACCCCAGTGTTTTTTTTCTACGCAGATTGTTTCTAGGCTAGGAATAAAACGTATCTGTTTCTGACCCCTACGTCATTGCTTACAGAAGGCTTTTCACAGGTGAGGCCCAGAGCTCTTTTTATGATCCAGAAGCAACAGAAGAGTTAAAAAAAACACAGCACTTTTGTTGGAAATATAAGTATTTAATAGTATTTGGTGGCATTTGATAGTTACAATTTTAAGCTTGAAACACAATTTGCTCTAATACTCTTTTCATGGTAGAGGAGGCCTAAGTTTACTATTTTAACGATCACAATTAATGAAGTAAGCAGAAAAATGGGAGAAGTGATGAATTAGAATGAAGAAGGCTTTACAAAAAAAAAAGAAAAAGAAAAGAAAACAGTTTTGAGGAAAACATATATAAAAATAATTATTCCAAAAGGAAGCAATAGGTATTGATAGGAATGTGCCATGTGCCTTGTTAAAAGAAAGGCAGTGGTCAATGTTCTCTTTTAAGCAATCCATTTGTCTAGAAAATAATAGATTATAAAGGTCATTTTGCTTATTCCCCTTATTTAGTAAGATAAAGTGATAAAGCATATTAATACTTCAATGGGAAACTTTATGAACTTTTGCCTCCCTCTGTAGCGTGCTGTGCTACATGTTATTTTCTCTGCATTTTTCTTCTCAAAGAAAGTCTTCCATGCATTTTCAATTTTTTCCGCAGGTGGAAAATATAAAATAAAAAAAGAGCCCAGTTGAGAGGCAGGACAGAGAAAGCTGACATTGTTCATTCCGAAAGCTGCATCAGGCAAACAGCAGAGAAGGTACCAGCTCAGGGTTGGAAACGGTTCACACGGAGTTCAGGGAGGGTGCCTGACCTTCCCTGTTCCTAGAAATAGCACGTTTTCTTCTGTGAGGTGTTTGTGGATGTGTGTGTGCCCCGTGGTGCATGTATGTGGATGTACGTACTGACTTGTACATGCGTGCAGTGGGAGGATATAGCTGCAGAGCTATTTGCTTAGTGATAGTTTGGGCAGGTCCTTGGAAATCAAGTCCTAGGAAGTCATGTCAGGTTTAATCTCTTCGGAGTGTGGCAAGAAGAGCAAGCCCATTCCCAAAGCTGGGGAAGAACAATTGACTCTGCCTTTGACAGCTGCTACTGGCATCCTATTAAACTTAACCGTGTGAAACTGCCAGGCATAAATCTTTCCTCATCCTGCCGAAAGCTGGAGATAAAAGAGAAAAAAGCTTAGAAGTCAGCTGTGGAAAAGACTTTGATCTTTACCGTTAATGTGATGGGTTTTGCATTTCTCCCAGATTCCCTATTGTTCTTCTGTGGACTAGGAACTCCGACTGTTTGCTGCAGCTTGGCTGGGTGTAATAAGAACTGCAGATTTATCTTGTTACATAACAGCAGAGAGAGGTCTGAGGTTTGTTTCCACAGAGATTACTGCCCAGCCTGCAGTTCCTGGATCAGGATGTACAGGGGGAGGCGCTTTCTGTGCAACATGGCACAGAAGCCAAGTTAGTCTCACAAAATGAACTAAAAGAAATCAGGTTGGCAGCCCACTGCAATCAATTCTGGGCAGACTGTGCCTCTGGATGCATGTGTGGCCCTGCAGCTTCTGACTGAATGGAATTTGTCCCATAAAATCTCTTAGCAAGAGCTATTACTAACAGAAGGTCTGATTCAGTAGCCCTCATGTAGAATTCTTGCTTGCTCCATTCAGCAGTGCCTTCACAGTGGGCAAAACTGGAGAGCATCAGGAATGCAATAACTGAGTGTGCACACAATGAGCTGAATAGCACAAAGCAGACATCATAGCTGTGATGTTGGTCAGTGCTGACACACAAAGGATTTTTCCAACCTAGCAAGTCTGGCTGCAGGTTTTGTTTGTTTAAATTCATTATTAAACTAGAAGTACTGTCCTGTTAAATCGTATTGTTAAGTATGAATCACATAAGCACTAAGGTTAAAGTTTCATGCTCAGTGATAGTTTTGCTGAATGCTCTGTTTCCATCATTACCTCTCTGCCATACTGGTACATCTGTTGTTGTTTTTGTGGCTGCACTGTGGGCAGCCTGGCTGTAAAGCACAAACGTGTGCATGATCTGGTAGGAAAAGGGTAAAAGCTGGCTTGGATCGGTGCTCTGTGCCTGCTCGTGACACCTGTAGCAGCCTGACAGAGAGCACTGCCAGGATGGAAACATCTGGGAAGGGAAGGACTGCTGCTGACAGCGATTCATCAAACACAGTACAGCACGCAGCTTCCCGGCACTGATTGCATGTGATTTCAAAGCACTTTAATAGAAGAGACCTTCTACGTCTATTTCAGGGGAGGAAAGTGTGACTATCGCTCATTTAGAAGGGAAAAAAAAGGGGAAAGAGCACAGAACTGAAAGTGGGCAGATTGGCCAAGGTCAGGAGGAACTCGGTGGAAAAGCCACAAATAGCAGCACCTGGTGCTGCAAGCCGGTGCCTTGGCTGCAGACCCAGCGCTTGGCCCCGGCCCCCTCTGGGAGCCCCGCACCGACAGGTCCAGGCGTTCAGAGGTTGTTTTTCCCTCTGTCACGTGGAAGCCTTGTTGGTGACATACAGCCACCGGCACTGCAGAAGCTAAACGCTGCCTGTTTGGTGAAAAAGTACCCCTTGTAACCTACGTGCCCGTTTCAGATGTCTGTAGAAAGGCTTTCTTGCTGTGGCTGAAACACTGCAGTACCCTTCATTTAAAGCATTCGAGGCTGTTTACCTTGTTTTTCTGTAACAGACACAGCCGTTCGAGCGTGTGGAGTCACCAAAAAGCAATGCGATCGCGCGCGCCCCCGGGCGCAGTCTCTAAAGCTGAGGGAACCTAAACGCGGAATCGGGGGAGGAGAATTCAGTTCTAAGCTCTGGAGGGGAGGCTGGAAGATGAACAACATCCCGGCCCCGACCCGGGGTGCAGGCACGGCTCCGCGCTGGCAGCCCCCTCTCCCGGCGCCGCCGTTTTTCACGTTTTGGGGCGCGGGGTTCGGGGCCGTTTCCCCGCAGGCGCCCTCCGGCCGCCCCGGCGCTGCCCCGCGGCTCTCGACCCCTTCCCCTCCCGGGGCTCCCCGCGGGGCCGGGACCCGCCCGGGGGCGGGCGGCGGCGGCGGCAGCGTTAGCGTTAGGACCCGGCGGCGGCCGCGAGGCGGGGAGGGGGGAGCGCAGCCCGGCGGTTGTTTACCGGGGAGGGGAGCGCCGGGGCAGGTCTCGGCGCGGCGCTGAGCGCGGCGCAACCGAGCGGCGGGGCCGAGCCGGCGGCTCCTCGCCCTCCGCGCCGAGGATGCTGCGCGGGGGCCCGCTGCGAGCGGCGGGCGCGGTGCTGCTCGTCTCGCTGCTGCTGGCGGCCGCCCGCGGCGCCGAGGGTGAGTGTCGGCCCGCCCGAGGGGGCCCGGCTTTGTCGCGGGGGACAAAGGCCGGCCCTGGGGGGGGGAACCTCCGGCGAGGGGGACCTCCCCGCATGGCCCGGCCTCGTGTTTCTGCAGAGTGCCTCCGCGGCGACGGCGCGTCCTACCGCGGGAACCGGCGGGTGGCCTCCGGCGGCGCCCCGTGCCTCAACTGGCTGGCGGTGCGAAGCGAGATCGGCGCCGCGCTCCCGGCAGGTGGGTGCGGGCGGTGGCGGGCCGGGGCGGCGGGGCTCGGAACGCGGGGAGCTCCGCGCTGACCGCCTCGTGCCCTCCCGCAGTCGCCGAGGATCACGACAGCTGCCGGAACCCGAATGGCGACGCCGCGCCCTGGTGCTACGTCCGAGGCGCCACCGGGATTCCCGAGCGCAGAACCTGCGAGATCCCTCTCTGCCCAGGTAGGAGCGGCCCCAACCGGGACCCCGCTGCCGCCCTCCCCGGCTTTGTCCTTCCCTGCCCGGACTGGGGGCTGGTCACCGGGAAGGGGTCCCCGTGCGATCTCCACTGCCCCTTACCCGGGGCTCCCCTCCAGCCTGCGCTTGGAGGTTTAGTCTTGGTAGCAGAAAAGGCCTCCACCCGTTTTGCTGGTCTGTTTGCACTGCTGTTGAACCGTGTTATAAAAGGCAGTGGTCTGCACATCTAGAAACCGCCGGAAAGTGGGTAGGACCTTAATGTAGGACATGTTACTGCTGTCGGAATGATGCTAAAGGAGTGCCAGGGTGAGTTTGGATACAGGTAGGGTTGGAAAAACTCGATAAAAACAAGATGTGAAGAGAGGACGGTAAAAAACAAAACATCAGGCAGGGTGTCAGAAAGACATGTCAGGCTGTGAGGGAGCCTGCCAGGAGGAGAGCTGTAGCTCAGAGCCGGCTTCTGGGAGAGGAGATGTTAGGATTGGCTGAGACCAAAGCAGGCACTTGTTTTTTGGACTGTTTGCAGATCTCTGAGCCTTTCCAGATGTACACACTGCACTGTCCCTCGGGAACACTGGCCTTGCATGTAAACAGCTTTCCCTCACACGTACTCCCTCTGCTTTCCTTCGCTCTGCTTGTCTGTTGCCTGCTTTTCCCTAAAGGTAAAGCAAAACAAATGTTCTGCTGCCAAGAACAGTCTTGCAGCTTTGGGATCTGGGGAGTTAACTGACCTTCCATCCAGTACACCATCTGTATGTGTAGAGGGTTTGGCCATCCTTGTCTCAGAGCAGGCACCGTTTTATTATAGTTGTCCTGCTGCTCCCCTTAGTTCAGCTTCTCTGGCCTGACCTTAAGTAACATAACTGTGCAGTGCAGGCACCCTGATTTCCTGTTACTAATTCCTCATCTGTACTTCCATTTCACATTCCACTGAGGACTCAAAATGGCTGCAGATAGCAAATCCAGATGGGGTTAATGACAGCTGTGGGGTGAGATCTAGGACCTGCTGAGAGATGGAGGGAGTTTTCAGGTGTGCATGCAAACTGTGCATGGCATTTCCAAAAAGCAGGGTTTTTTTGTTGTTATTCAAGAAAGGCAACAAATATATACATTCTACTACAATAGCTTTTACTGTGATGTGAAAGAGATTTCTTGAAAATCTCATTAATGTGGTTGATAAAAATCTGCAGTGCTGAGAAAGAGTCTGCTGTGAGCATCCATCCTCACGCATCTTTCTGTGGGCTCTGGCTGAGGAAGGCCGTGCTGTACTTAGATAAATCAATGCCTCTGCTGCCCGAAGCGTTGCTCTGATTTAGCCTGTCCATCATGCTAAAGGAGTTTGCTGCAGGGCTGCAAAGAGGGCTGGGTAAAAATGTCCTAGGTTGTTTCACACCATCTGGAGTCTCCTTCCATCAAACCTTCCTGTGTCAGGAAGATTGAGGCAGAAGAGAGATAAATAGACTCTTGGGAGATTTCAGATGGAGATTCTCATCATCTTTTTTCATGTCTGTTCAGCATGATTGAAGCTGCAGCCTGTATATCGATCTGTAGACTAAATGAAGTCATTGTGCATCCCCTGGACTCTTGCTCTGAACCTGGGTTTCATTCTGTTCAGTCTTCTGCCTCATCTGAGGTGATGCCTTACACTTACAGGATTCATGTCAGAGGAAAACAGGGAGAGTGCATTTCTCTTGGTAGGATTTCTGGCAGTAACTGCTTAAGTTACTGTAAATAGTAACTTGTTATTCATGGGAATAAGTGTTTGTCAGTGGGTTTTGAAGATGGTTTGGTGATAGCAGTCTAGATCTGTCCCACTCACATGGTGTGTGTTATTTGGAAGTACTCATCAATGCTCCGTATTTTGTACGTCTCTTTTTTCCTCCCAACAGATGCTACTGCTACCACAGCCCCAGTCCCTACAGCAGAAGTTAATATTTCTCAGGAGGTCAACCAGGTGTTTGAACCAGCTGATACCTTGCCCTCCCGGAGTGAGGCAGCCGCTGTGCAGCCCGTCATTGGGATAAGTCAGAGAGTGCAGATGAACTCCAGAGAAAAGAAGGACTTAGGGACACTAGGTAAAAACACAGGGTTGTGAGCTGGATCCATTCCTGTAGTTCTGTCAGGATGGACTTGTTTCGAGGCTCAGAAAGTGCTGCTGTAACTGGATCTAATGCTTCCAATGCTGCCTCTTTCCTTTCCCTCTTCACAGGGTATGTGCTGGGGCTGATCATGATGGTGATCATCATTGCCATCGGGGCTGGCATTGTCGTGGGATACATCTATAAGAGGTCAGTGGCTACTCTCCTTTGTCCTAAAGCTGTTTTAGGCATAAAATCCTGATTATACAAATCAGGAATATCTGAATGTCTGCAAACCCAACCAGATGCTAATGAAAAGACAAACAGATGCGTAAGTCTTCAAACATCACAAATTGTACAAGAGCTTATGTTGTCACAAGAAAAGAGTAATTTAAGAATTAATCCCACTCTTCTCTATTTCATACATCTGTATGGTATCCTGTCATATTTAAAGTTTCAAACAGCCCTCTTTTTGTTTGTTTGGTTTGAGATGTGGATGCGTGTGATTTGATGTGGCTTTCTCAGGTGCTTCTAGAGGAGCTGACTTCTAGGTGGTAGCTGTAGAGAGCAGAGTCCAGGTGCCCTCACAGGAAGTTTACTTTGCAGTCAGAAGAGCAATCCTTTCAGCAGGCACCTCTTTGCCTGCTTTCCCTAGTTTAGGTAACTTTAGGAGAAGAATAACTGGTGAATCCTTTGCCACACGTGTTGTATTCTGTGAAGCTGCATATCGGGTAGCACTCTTTGGAAAAGTTCCATTTTCTAAAGCTCCTGTCTGCTTTATGGTCAGTTTTGATTCATGTGTAAGTTATGACTTGTTTGGCCACTTCACTGCGCTGCACAGAAACCTTTCTGTAGCTCAGCAGCATCTGAGCATCAGAAGGGTTTGTGGTAATAGGAAGCAGGTTAGTTGTAACAGGCAGGGCAGGATTAGCAAGTACCAGTATAGCTGCAGCAAGTGAAAGCTCGGGCTGTCTCCTCTGGGAAGGTTTGTTCTGTTTTGGCTGTTTGACAGCAGCCTGACACAGCCAAGCAGAAGGAGCCCTTTCCCAAGCTAGGACACGTCCTTATGTAAGTGTTTATAATAAATGCCGACAGAAGAAAAAAAAACAGAAGGAGGAGTGTTACATAAGGGGCAAAACACAGAGCGCTGCTTGTTGAAGAATCTGATTTGAGTTGTCACTTCAGAGAACGCTGTCTCGTGTGCTGGCAGGATTGGCAGCCGCTGCTGCACACTTGTAGGCAGCTTTGAAAAGCTGCCAAAACACTTATGTGCTGACTGGAAACCCCAGCAGCTCTGCCTGTTGGGGATCACAAGCCTCGGGAGGTGTTGAGTGGTGCCTGCCCCACTTCACTCCTTTCTTTGGCAGGAAGGAGCAATACTGAACTTTGTCCTAATGCAGCTTTGCTTTTCCAGATCCAGAATATGCACTGCAGGGCTGCAGGCACAGGATTGCTTTTCCTCTCTTCCTGGATGCCTTGCTCTCAAAACTGTATGTGCAAGCTAGCAGGTTTGGGTGGGTGTGGTGAGAAACCTCTGTGTTTTATAGCTTTTGGTATATGTAGCTTTTCTGGAGACAACATGCTATTAATGCCATCCATTTGTAAAGCCACGCGGATCTTCCTCAGTACAAATTACAGAGGTGTTGCCTCGCTTAGCAACAGGCTGAAAAGTTAAGTAGGCTTGAGAAGCCACTTGTGGTATTAAGCTGTTAGCTGCAGCCGCAGCAGGCACAGCCAGCTCTGAAACAGGCTTGAATAAATTCAGTAATGGCATCACTTGCTACATGAGTTTGTTTGTTGCAACAAAAGCAGAATCTATCACCAGCTTCAGTAGTTGTTTCTGTCAGATGAAGCTAGCTCTTTTGTGCAGCAGTGGGCTCTGCTGCCTCACTGCTCCCTTGGTCCAGCACCAGACCACGCTGTGGGACTGTAAGGTATTAAGAAACATTTGTCAGCTCCATGGTTAGTAGAAGTTTGGCTTTCCAGTCATCATTTAGATGAAGTACTGTCAGTAAATAAGACAATATGGGGAAGGGACAGACTTCACTTAGCTGCATATTTGTGAAGGTTCTCATGGTCCTCTGCCAGTGGTTTCTGGGCACTTTGTATGTGGCTGGAACATCCTTTTGTAAAACAAAGAACTGAGTCTTGCGTTTTCTTTTCTGCCATATCACCTTTACTGACTCTGTCTTCAAGCAATGGCACTCAAACCATGTGTGTATGTATTTATTTTTTCTTATCTAGGGGAAAAGACCTGAAGGAAAAACACGAGCAGAAAGTTTATGAGCGTGAAATGCAGCGCATCACACTGCCACTCTCAGCGTTCACCAATCCTGCCTGTGAGCTTGTAGATGAGAACACGATTGTGGTTCACACTAACCAGACACCTGTGGAGGACACACATGATGGCAGTGGCCCGCTCATGGGGCAGGCAGGTACTCCTGGTGCCTGAGCAGCTGGGGCAGGAGACGTCCAGGCTGAGTGAAGCTTCCAGCTTCCCACTGTGAGCGTGGGGGTTGCGTGTGTTCATTTCTATTTTGTTTTCTTTTTGATGAAAGCCAGATGAAGGTGATGCAGAGGGACAGAGCAATGGGCTATTCATCACTGTTTGAGGGCAACATTCAGTGCATGACCAGCTGGGGACTGGTGTGGTGGATCTTGCTGCTTCCTCCCACCTATCTCCATGGAGTGCCAAGGAGCTGGAGGGGAAGACGGGCCAGGTTCACACCTGGCCGCAGAATCAATAGCTGTGAGTGTGGTCTTGGCTTCCTGTTTTTCTGTTCCTTTCCTATTTAACGGTGTGCACTGTTACTTATGTTTCAGCCTGGAAGCCCAGGAGGGAGCAGTACTGCAGGGACTGAGGGGAGCTTCATGTCAGACCTAGATAATTACACTGATTATAGTTCCTGTCTTTTTTGCTTTAATGGCTGAGAGCTGGAGAATCCTATCCAGAATCCTGCTACTAGAACAGGTGGTGTTTTTTTTCCCCCCCAAGAAAGAATGTATTTGAAGGATGGCTTTGACCAATAACGGTATGTTTAGCCCCAGTGTAAATTTGGAAAAGCTCTTCTCAAGGTCTTGACGAATCCAGGTCTTCCAGGGCTGAGGGCGCATCTCCATTCCCCTGTGGTGCTACATGCACAGCCACAGTTGTAGGTGTCCAGGTGGTCTGCCTCCTGCTCACTTACACAGATCAGCAGACCAGAAGGCTAGCAGCAGATTGTTCTGGAGTGTAGAAAAAAACCCTGCCCTTCGATCACTTACAGCAGGTTGAGCACTGAGGACAGATAACTTTCTATAGTGCCAGCTCTGGAGGGAATGGTCAAGCCAGCTGTGGATTCCAGTGCAGCTGCCCTTGCTCTGAGGCAGGACAAAGTTGCTGCTCTTGTAAGATCCCAAATTCACAGCATGGCTTCTGGCCCAGCCCTCTTTGCACACGCTCAGCTTGTGCAGCAAGACTGCTCACTTACCAAACCTGGCCCTATTAGAGAGATTTTTATAACAACTTTTATCAGCATTCCAGGGACTTTGGAAAGGACAGCTGCTGCAGTGTCTCCCAGATGGCACCGAGGCAAGGCCAGTTCAGGGAAACATCTATCCCCACCTCAGGGGAATCAAGCCATTCAAGTAAGTTTTCTAGCCATCTGCTTTATAGCTGAGGGCCTAACAGGGAATAGCACTTGGCAGCAGGGGTTTTAGTGTTAATGTTTGATTCAAAAAAGGGAAATGTTTTATTTTTAAATGCCTTTGAATACCATTTCTTTGTAAAATGTTTTAAATACCTCATTATGAGAAGGTGCAGATTGTGCTACCTTGTATTAAAGCTTCAATGAAAAATGCTCTGTAAACCTGTGTGGACTGTGGCTCATCTCTATATTCTTCCCTGCCAGAGCAGCATCCTTTTGTTTGTTGCAGACTTCCAACTGAGGAGAGGGGATGATGCTATTACAGTTTGTCAGGCCCAAAGGTAAATCCCTACAAGCAGTGCCCCTACTCCCCAGCACAGACAAGGGACACAGGACGTGTCTCAGTGCTGCCAGCAGCTAGCCCATGACTGGGCAGTGTTCCTAAAAAGCAGCTGTGGGTGTGTGAACTGGACTGACAGAGTAGGCTGGCTCATGGGAAGATTGCTCTCCCTTACAGCCCCTTCCTGTAGTGACGCAGGTCAGTTCTGTTTTGAGGCTGCTCAGCAGCAGCTCTGTCCCTCGGGGCCTTGCATTGGAAAGCAAGGAGACAGCATGGCAGGTTACAGGAGGCACTGACATAGCTGGCATTTTTTCTGCATAAGCTGGCACTTCATAGCTGGCATAAACAAATGCCTCTTGAACTGTGTATTTCAGAATATGATGTTTCTAAGAATGGGCTGTATTTTTACCCCTGATTCAGGAAAGTGGAGACATTCCATGTTCTGCCGGCTCTTGTCAAGTCTTACACAGAACAGCTAGACAGCATCTTCCCTTTGCATCACTCCAGGTGAATGTTATCATTAAGCGCTTGCACAGCATCTCAGTAGTCCCGTGTGTGGCAGAACCCCTGGCTCAAGGAGTTCTTTCAATATCTGACCGGTGTCGTTTTGTTTTTGCCTTTCTGTGACAAGAGAAACTCAAGATGCAGTTTCCTGCTTTATTACATTTTTACACAGACAACACAATCTTGTTTCCACAGCATACATGTACTGTTTTGTTTTTTTTTTTTAATTTAGTTAGAATGTGGAGCTGTGCAAATCACAGTTCATAAATCTCACCCACACATTACCTAGGACTCTTCCCTTCGAGGACCCCTCAAATCCAGCCTTGGGGGAGGGGGAGGAAAGGACAAATCCTATTAACAATCCTGAATCCACTGGACTCAGTTTAGAGAGGCTCTTCCACTGACTCAAAGTGCAAGGAGCCCTGCGTGTTTCTAAAACACCACTACATGGACTACAAACAACCCCAACACACACACCTTGTGTCAGGTGCTGACTGGTCCCATGGAATTGTACAGAATATTTTGAACTCATGGGTAAGCATGAGGGGGGTGGGGTGAAATGAAGCTAACAGAAAAGACTTCACACTCACATCCCACAGTTCAGTACTGAAGGGATGGGGAGGTGCAGGGAGAAAGAAACACACTAAAAAAAAATCAAGTTACACCAAGAGGTTTGTAGAACTTCTGAGCAAACCTTTTGTTTGGTTCTGACAACCACATTAGGCCACCACTGAAGCAGTAGCTTTCTTCCTTCTCCATCTGAAGGAAGAAATACTTCACCTCTCAATGACTCCAAGCTCTTTTTTTCTCCCCAAAGCAGGGAATGACCCCAAGGAAAGTTTCTGCTTGGACAATCAGCCTAGGTGCTGCAGCAGCAGCAGTTGCAAGAACCTTCAAAGGGAGCAACTTGCAGGGAAGGATAAGGTAATGGCAACTGAATGATTAGTTTTCCAGCTGCTACTCCTAGTGAGATGGAGCAGTCTCCATCACTCTTCTGTTTACTTACAAGTTCATCCTTTAAGTAGCCTTGGCCACGTCTCACTTTATCATCATCTATGCACAAAGTGTGAGCCACTTCAGGCCTTTACCTTTCCGAAGAGCACCTTCTGCCATCCTGTCACCTCATTTCCACAGGCTGAGAAGTTCCAGCAGCTTTGCCTTTCCAAGGATGCTCACAGCCATTGTCTAGTGCAGTTCTACACATTCAGGTTCAAATGCTCTCACCTGGGGTAAGGTCCTTGGGCAGGCAGACTTACTGTACAGGGTCAGAGTCTGAAAATGCTTAACAAGCTCATTTTCTGGCTGCCCATCCAGTGGGGCAGGTAGAGCTCAGTCTTAGTGTTTCTAGGTGGGCTTTCAGAGGTATTCAAAGGCGGAGGAAGAAAAAACCCACAAAAATAAAACAGAAACGCATACATGCTTCCCTGTGAGAGCTGCCCAGTTCCTAGGCTTGTTTACACTCCCATCCTCAATGTCAAATGTCAGTGGGCTGTTCTGGAAAACACAGGCACAAACATATACACGCACACACACACACACAGTCCTGTTTGGGTCTTTTGCCAGATGTCCAATTTTCCCAACTTTCTGAGCAGGGCAGTCAGTGGGAGAAGCAGTTCCAGAAGTGGTGGTCCTTGCCCAGGAGAGTTTCCTATAGCAGTTACCTCCCTGGCTGATGGGCCAGAGTGGCTTCACAGCTTGCAGCCAAGTTCTAAGGCACCACAGTAAAGAAGCCTGAAAAGGCCAGAGAAGCATTTCTCAAGCCAGAAAAATAGTGTTGAGCAGCTTTCATAGGTGCAGTTGGCAGGAAACAGTCCTTTTTGCTTCTGAAACATGCCAGAAATCCACAGTGAATCAGGATGTCTGAGAGGAGGGCACTGGGTGGGGAGAGAGAGGCAATGCAGCGAATGCACAGCATGGTGCCCTGTTAATGCCCTGAAGTGGCTGAAGTGCATCTCCCTCCCTGTTGCTCAACTCCAGCAGAAGTGATGCAGGCAGCAGAACGAGCTGACTAGGTTGTGTTTTCAGGTAACTTGTCACGGTTCAGTCCGTACTGCACACTCACGTTGTGGTCCAGCTCCTCCAGCTCAGATGGGAGGGGGATGGCAAGTTCTCCCAAGTAGAGGGAGAGAGCTTCGAAGGAATCTTCAAGCTTGGAAAAAGGGGGCCTAGGGACAACAATGAGGAAGTGTGAGTGGGGAACATGAAGCAGAACAGCATGTGAAATGGCTGGGCCAGCTGTCCATCCAGGCTACCGTCCCTGCACAGAGGTGTGAGCAGGAACATGATTTCCCCCATTCCATTTCAGAGACAGACAAGATCACATCTGTTCGGGCTATTAGTTTTTACAACTGATGACCAGGAAGGTCCAGCTCTTTTGGAACCCTGGTCTGAAGCTGTGAACTTCACAGCTAAAGTGAAATAGAATTAAGTATTTCTATTTCATACCTGCTGCCTAGGTCTGCCCCTACTTTTTTCATGAGAGAAATCCTGACCAATCAGTCCTCCCCTACCCTTAGATGCTTAGTCTTAGATGCTGCTTAAGAGACCTTTACCATACTCAGCAGCCTCTCTTTCCAAGCTGTTGTCAGGCTTTCCTCACATGGAAGCCTTGGAGCATTCCCACAGAATGCTGGAATCCAGTCCTTTCCTGCTCTATGTGCAAAACAATCCTTCCACCAAGGGTAGATGCACACATCCTCCAAGCTCACCTAAGAGTTCTCCCAGCCCCAAACCTACCTGCTCTCTGGTTCCAGTCTACAGCAAATGGCAGCCAGAGGGAAAAAGGCTGGAGGACAGTCAGCAGGAACAAATTTTTCCCAGAACAGCTTAACATTAAGGCCAAAATCCAGTGTGCGTGGAAGACAGTCTGGGTCAGCATAAACCTGGCCTATGATCTAGGGAAAAATGAGAGGAGTGTTGAAGTACAATAAGAGTCCCCGGATGTTACCAAGCAGGGAATTCCCAGCATTAGGGAGGGGGCTCCTTCATTCAAAGTTTTAGGGTGAAAAGGAGAGAACAGAAACACCATTCCTCCTCTCCTATGGCAGTATTTGCAGGAATAAGCAAGGCACTGCGCATATCAGACTCAGCAATATGGCCACTGTTGCAGTGGAATTGCCCAGACACACTTTATCTCCAAGGTTCTTCTGCTGGAAGATGCAGGATAATGTACATCTCCCAGAGAACTCAACAGTGTCCCTCTGCTGTGCGCTGGTCAGGATGACGTAGCCCCCCTGAATGCAGGCAATGAATACAACCTACATCACCATCCCATCCCTCCTCTTCCATGCAATCATACAACACCTCCAGCAAAGCTTCGTATTCATGGAGCTTGACTTAAAATGGTGCTGTGAAGGCAACAGCACCACAAATTTCAAGTTGCTCAGTTAGTAGCAAATTGAGCACCCCACAACCAAGGGTAGGGAATGGAAAGAACAACTAAAAGCAATACCCAGAAAGTTACAGGAGAGACATATGAGTGGAACAGCGATAAGTCCTGCCCCACCACTCAGAGTTTTGTGCTCACCACAAACCCCACTGTCTCACTGAGGTGTGCTCCACCTCCAGTGCCTATAGGGGACTTAAAATGTACTAAGAGGGAACCTCCCCACAGCAGAGAGCTTAGGGTGATCTGGGCACAAAAAAAAAGTCAGTGTCAATACAGATTTTCACATGGGGAGAATATTAGGTTTAAAGCTTCATCAGGTATCACAGAAAGGATGTTATTTATAACTCTCAGGCTCTTCCATGCCAATAAACTCAGCACTACAACCTACAACTACAACCACATCCTGTAGCGAGACAGCGAAATGCCTATTATGTATTTTGGCAGTGTTACTTCCTTATCTGCTTTTTGAGTGCTTAACTTTTTTTTTTCTTTTTTAGCATTTTTATTTTGGTAACAATTGAAATGTTCATATCCTACCACCCCATTTTTTTTCCTAGGTTTTAATCCCACATACAGATTTTTTACGTTCCTAAATCTATCACTCAAAACCACAACATTGTCCAAGAGGAGGGCTCAATACAAACACAGCTCCTGGTGAAGCCACAAAGATTTATGCACAGATACCTTCTTTGTTCTCTTTATATCCAAACATTGAAGATGAAACTGTGCTGGGTCTCTCCTAGTGTTCTTGTAACTGTTGCATTACCTGTATATCTAACACCTCACCCTTCATCTGTATTTTCACTGTCTTACATACTAATATAACTTAATTACCTTGCAGCTTAAGTGGTGCTCTCTGCTCTGCAGGCAGGAAAGCCCATTATGGCATAAGATTGTGCAATGGCTCAGAGATATGCTAGGCCAGCAGACCTTAAGGTGTATGCTTCATTAACAGAGCTGCAAAGAGGTTTCAGTTTCTCCTTTGAAATC